ATTTTTTCCTTTTCCTCCTTATCCTATCCCATATTCAAACCATCAACAACATACTTAGCTTTTTCGATAATGCATGGAAAGACACTGTCTATGTCCCTCTATCTCACTGCTATTACTTGGGTCTAAGACACCCTTATTTCTTTCCTGAGCTTGGCTTTCACTTTTGGCTGCTCAACCCCTCCCATTCTCCCAGCAGCCAGAGTGAATTTTTGAGAGTGTACATCAAGTTGTGTTGCATGCTTGCTCAAAGCTCTCCACTGGTGTCCATTACAGTTGGATATAATACTTTCCCTGTGCACAAAGCAATGGGAAATCAGTTGAAAGCCTCTCTCTCTAATCTCCCCTTCCCACCCTGTCCCCCTGTTTATTGTGCTCTGGCCCAGTAGCTTCATTTCTGTTTCTGAGAATCTGGTTTCCATTCTGGGGACTTTGCTTTTACTGCTTGCTTTGCCTAGACTGGCTACTTCTGGATCTTTCCATGGCCAACTCCCTTCCATCATTCAGGATTCAGCTCAAATGTCACTTCCTCAGTGAGTCCTTTCCTGACAAATCTATTTAAAGCCATCCCCTCCCCTTTGTCACTCTTACAGTGTTACCCAGTTTTAGTTTTATTCTCTTAGTAGTAATAAACTTCTAATATTGTTCTGTATTCATGTATTTGGAGACTACAGTTTAAGCTTTGTTGTTCATTATTGTATTAATATCTCTAGCACCTGGCTCAGTGAGTATCAAGCATTTCCGAATGACTGGACAATTTTTCCTTAACCTCATTTGAGTCTTATAACAACCTTCTGGGTGGACACTGTTATCGCCTCTTTCTAGTGGTTGGCATCTTAATTTTGGTGTTTTGGGATTTTTTTTTGGTAAGTCCATAACTCATATTTCTAGAAAGAATGCATAGTTCTCATTTCACAGGTGAAGAAATCTCAGGGTTCAGAGAAGCCAAGTTACCTTTCCCAATGTTATACATTATGTAAATGGCACAGTTGCATCTAAAATATGTGTCTTAAAAATTAATTTATTAATTAACTTTCCCCAGCTTTATTGAGGTATAACTGGCAAATATAAATTATATGTATTCAAGTTGTACAACACGATGTTGTGATGTATGTCATTGTGAAGTGATTTAGTCCTGGCTCCTAGCTATTTGCTATTTCCCTGCTAACTTGTTACTTTCCAAATGGCAATTTCCCTAGTAAGAAACTCTGGAAGAAAAATATTGAATGGTAAAGAGTACATTTAGTTAGGTGCTCAGGAATTGAATAAATTTTTTTTTTTTTTTCAAACATGTAATCGGTGTATTCTTCAATGAACTTCTTTACTTTCTTGTTGTTCAGACAATTCTAGTATGGGCTCCGTTCATGTCCTAGTGGAAAATGCTGGTATAATAAGATTGGAAATGTCGTTTTGAAACACTTACTGTTGTTTTTTCCTGCTATTCTCTTCCTTGGTTTTCTCTTCCGAGCCAAATCTTGTTTATCCTGCACTCAGTAAGTAGCAAGCTTTCTGAGTGCAAGACCTTGTCTTGGAGGTGATATTGAAGAGTGTTATACAGTTAGTCTTTGACTTAATGTTCTTCAAGCTCAAATCCAGGCTGTTGCTTTCTAATTTTGTGACCCTGGAAAAGTCTGTTTTCTTATCTGCTAAAGATACATAATAATAATAATACATACTTCCTAGGATTGTTAGAAGAATTAAACAATGATAACTTGCTAATCTATTATTATACTCAGTGTTGAGTATATACTGAGTATTAAAAAATAGTTAACTATTATTATTTTCCATCTTTGTACTTCTTTTTTTTTTTTTTTTTTTTTTTTTGAGACAGAGTCTTGCTCTGTCGCCCAGGCTGGGGTGCAGTGGCCGGATCTCAGCTCACTGCAAGCTCCACCTCCCGGGTTTACGCCATTCTCCTGCCTCAGCCTCCTGAGTAGCTGGGACTACAGGCGCCCGCCACCTCGCCCGGCTAGTTTTTTGTATTTTTTAGTAGAGATGGGGTTTCACCGTGTTAGCCAGGATGGTCTCGATCTCCTGACCTCGTGATCCGCCCGTCTCGGCCTCCCAAAGTGCTGGGATTACAGGCTTGAGCCACCGCGCCCGGCCCATCTTTGTACTTCTAATACCTAAGCACAGAAGCTAGCATATAGCAAACATATGAAAATGTTAATTAAATGAATCCAGGGGCCATATTATCGACTGGATCTTTGACAGACTTTAGTAGGCTTATCCCTCTCATCAATTTCCTTAAAGTTAAAGAGGAATTGAGAATTGTACCTGTTGTTTCCCTCTAACATTTGTTATACCTTGCCTAACCAAACCCACTTTCTACCCTACAGTTATTTGACAGATTTTTCAAATATATAGGTTCTTTCAGCATAAATTATTGTTAATAAGAAAATGTGTTTTGTTGAGACAACCTCTGCTTTCTGCTTAGATTTTGAATTGCCAGATTCTAATTTATAGAATTTGATGACACTCCTCCTAAAAGCTGGTCTTTTCTCCTCAGGTCAAATTACCCACCATTAGTCTCTCTCCAGAGCACCTATATTTTAGTTCTGGAATGTTCTGTTATCTTGTTTCCCTTGTTGATGGAAACATATCATTTTTCAATATTGCCTTTAAATTGAGAAATTCAAAGGTACACACGGGTTTTAGGAACCAGGAGAATACGTGCCACGTGCTGCCTTCTTCTGAGTTTGTTGCTGCTGAAGGTGAAGCCCAGCATGTTTTCTTTTTGCTGATTATAAATACCCAGTCACCAAAACTTCAAACCAGATATTGTTTGGGAACAAGGGAAGTGACTGGGGAGCCTTTCACAAGTAATGAACTTACCATATCACAGACCTATGCTGTTCACCCAGATAAAGACGCTGCATTTTTCAAGTTATCAGTTTTAGTATTGTGCTTGAATAAAACAGAGACATTGATATGTATCTAATCTTGTTTGGATAAAGTTTGACTTTGCTATCTAAGATGTTCATCTAAAAAATACAAAAAGAACAGGAAACTTAAATGAATCAATAGTGAATACTTTGTAATACAAATCCCATTATTTTTTAAAACCTCCTTCTGTTTATCAGTCAATGTTGGCTCAATATTATGCATAGAATTCTTTTTCTTTATATTCATAGCCCATGTGGAAAGATAGCTTCTCTTTTCAGTTGAATGATACAAGGGAGTTGCATCAAACATCAGAATAATTATATTGGAGAATCAAGTTTTTAAGATGCGAACAGTGACATCAGGTAAACAAGAAAACACTCACCCCGATCATTCCAGAATCACAACTCAGAATATAGAACGCATCTATCAAAATAAATTCATCAGAAGCTCTCTTAACTGATCTGTGCTTATCCTACTTAGCACATCAACTCAATCCTTTCTCTCTAAAACATAGATGACCATGTGCTGCCCACTACTAGGTTCTGGGCCATTACCTGGTCCTCTCTCACACCTTTCCTCTCAGAAATTGAGTGACATGCTTACCAAGACGCAGTTGTGCTTAGTTCCAAACCCTTCTATGTCATTGTATTCATTATACTATATTCTGTAATTTAAGATAATGATTTTTTCGGAAAGGGAATATAATTTCTTTAAAAAATAAGTTGAATGATTTAAAAATCATTGATAAAGATGATTTGATAAAAATAAAATTGCTTTTGAATTAGAGGTAAGACCACTTTAGAGGATTAGAAAAAAAAATTGGAAGGATGCTTGCTTTACTTCCTTTGCAAGTATCTTCAATCTCTTGCTTCACTTTAAGCCAAAATTGTAAATATTACATGATGTGTTATGGTTATGTTTTGTTGTAGAAAGAAGATAGAGTACTCTACCTGTGCATCTACTGTGTATCTATCTATTCAAAGGAACACCTTGAATCTGCATAGAAAGATTGGAGAGTGAAAGTACACCTATACATTTTAAGTTAAAATATCAAGGTGTATATGTGTATTTTGGAGGGTCTGCTTTATTATTTTCAAATAATTGACTGTCTGAAGGTATCAACTAAGCCAGACAAGAGGGCTTTTGCTCTGATCACAAACCTCATGAAACTGAAGGTTGAACGTGATGAAAAGAGAGGTAAGTTGTTGAGGACCAAGTGACTTCTCTTCCCAAGGTCTCGGTTTCCTTTTCTCTGAAATGAAAGGGTTGGACGTAATCAACCTGAAAGTTCTTTCTAATTCTAATATTTTGTATTTCTTGATACCAATTTGGCCAAAGTAAAGACCTTTCCTATTATGTTACCTGTTAGATGACTTTTCAGTCCGCTGTACTTCTCTCAGGTATACTTTTGTGAACATTGTATTGGCCCTGGAATATTTATTTGAGTTCATCCTGGTCTCTTCAAGAGACAGTTGTCTGGAAGAGAGACCCAGGTTGAGTTGCGTTTGGTTTAGATCTATATAAGAGCATGTTACTCCCTTGCTTAAGGTCTTTCAAGAGCTCAGCCTTCGGTACAGGGCATCATGCACCTTCCTTAGTATGCATCTAAGTTTTTGCATAATCCAGCGTCTACAGAGTATTTCAGCCTGACTGTGTAAACTTCTATTACTGAACTGACTTGATTATCCTTATTCCAAGGTGTTGTTTATACTTCTGAGACTTCATGCATGCTGCTTGCTCTGTCTAGAATGTTGTTCTTCATCTATTTTTTGCTGGTTAACACACACACACACACACACATATATATACACACACACATATATATACACACACACATATATATATGTATATATTTTTGGAGATGGAGTCTCGCTCTGTCACTCAGACTGGAGTGCAGTGATGTGATGTCGGCTCACTGCAAGCTCCACCTCCTGGGTTCATGCCATTCTCCTGCCTCAGCCTCCTGAGTAGCTGGGACTACAGGTGCCTGCCACCGTGCCTGGCTAATTTTTTCTATTTTTAGTAGAGATGGGGTTTCACTGTGTTAGCCAGGATGGTCTTGATCTTCTGACCTCGTGATCGGCTCGCCTCAGCCTCCCAAAGTGCTGGGATTACAGGCATGAGCCACCATGCCTGACCAACTTCTATATGTTTTTTAAAGAGTTAGTTTTGTTGCTCCTTTCTTTAGGGAGCTTTACCTGATTACCCCAGGCCAACCCAGTTACTTCTATGACTTTCTTAGAAATCTAAGTTTACTACCAACATTTTAATATCCCACAATATATCTCTTCCACTAACCTGTAACCTCCTAAAAGAAAAAGACTGAATCTATGTTTGTTCCAGAACCTGTACATTTTGCAGCATGGGGAAGTAGTTCAAAATGTTTGGTCAAATGCACTGTTGTAAACTTGGGGGTTTTCAACTGGACTTGAAAAACGTATCTAGACTGCCTGGCTTAAAACTTCCATTTTATACATGAAGAAACTGAGTCCCAGATGATTTTATGACTTTGCCCAGTATCTATTACTAACCCTGGAAACTATAATTCACCCCACTGTGTCTTGTCCTAAGTTTCCCTCCCTGGGATACTCAAATTCAAGAGCATCTGACTCACAAATTCATAGGAGAATATAGCTATTGAACAAGAGATAAAAATTAACATAATGAAAATGCGTACTGGAATGTTTCCACCCCAGCTCAGATTCCAAAAATGAACATAGGCTAAGGCCTAGTGAATAAGCCTTTCCCTGACTTATCAAGTAAGCATCCTTCTGTCTATACCCCACAATAGCCATCACAGGTCTTAACTGAGGCTATGTCTTGATGTTTCTCTTTAAAGTCTCATCCAGTGCTCATCTTCTCTTGTTATGGGGGCTTGAATCCTTGTGATATGTAGCCAATTAGCACTTAAATGTTTTGATCTGGATAAAAATTCTGCTGATATTAACTACTAGGTAACCTTGAGGTTACTTCAAGTTGAAAGATTCTAACTCTGACTATCCAACTACACCCCAATCCTAAATGGAAAGTTGTAAAATGTTTTAGTAGAAGAGAATGAAAGATGTTATTGAGTACAGAATTAATCATTAAAAAGGGACTGCTCAAAAGGAAATTAAAGGGCGAAAATGATGAGTAAGGCAAGTTAAAAAAAAACCCAATCCTTAAAGGTGTATGTTGTTTAAGCTTGATATTCAGAAAAGTTAGAGATAATTTATTTTTCCAAACTGAGACATTTTTGAGAATGGAAAAGAGGACTACTAATAAAAGCACAAGCACAAACCAGGACTGCCTTTGCAAAATCAGGACATATGGTTACCCAAAAAAAGCTCACCTCTGTCCAGTGTAGTTTCGTTGCTTCAAGAATGTTCTCCTAGATAAGCCATATGCCCAACAGTTGAGCTGAGAGTGTCAGACATGCTTCTGATCTGGTTTTCTATCTCTTCCCATTCCATTCTGGTCCTGATGCTTCATTTCACCAAATTCCACTCTCACAGCTTCCCATTTGCCTAGCCTTTCCCATTGGAAAGACATATTTGACTTTCTTAAATCTCTACTTTTTGGCTGCATGTGACTTAACTCTTCCATTTGTTATATGATTTGTGACTCCAGTGATTTTCACACTATTTTTGGTGGCATTCTAGGTTTCAAAGGTTCAACAAATGTTTGATTTTCCTTTAAGTTTTTAAAGATATATTGTTTACCCATAATTATTTTGGCTGACACAGGGGATGAGAAAAACTGTGTGGGAAGATAGCTTGCTCCCATCTTCCATCAGAGCAGCTCTCCCTTCTTCCTCTGGCAGTGATTCATATCAGGCCATTGTGGGCACCCATTTCCAATGCTGCCAGCCTGTGCCCAAGCCCCTGGGTGTCAGGAGGCAAGGAACCCAGCCTTGGGCCTATGCTGCAACTGCACTGTGATGAGTGTCCATCATGCCCAGAGCCTTACTCAATGCTTTAGGGAGGATAACCCTGCTTTTACCTGTTTTAAGTATTTTGTTCGAAAAGACTAACCATTAAATTTGCTTAAAAACCATGACTCTAGCTTTTCCCATAGTAACTGACTTTCCTTTGTTTTAGCTCCCAGGTTACTGTGTCTATACCTGTGGTGGGCAGCTTCTGAAATAGCTTCCAATGATCCCTGCTTCTGATATTTACAATCTTGTGTATTCCCTCTTTGTGAGTGTGGGATGGACCTAGTTGTTTGATTTTAACAGATAGAATACTAGAGCAAAGGTGATAGGGTGTTACTTCCAAGATTAAGGTGCAAAAGCTTGAGTTACTTGAGTCTTGCTAGCACTCTCTTTTCTTCTCCCTTGCTCTGATGAAGCCAGTTCCTATATTGTGAGCTACCCTACAAAGGAAACCTCATGGAAAGGAAGAAAGAGAAGCCTCAGACCAACAACTCATGAGGAATTGAGACCCTCAGTCCAACAGCCCTTGAAGAACTGAATCCTGCCAACAAGCTGAGTGAGCTCAGAAGTGAACCTATCCCCAGGTAAGCCTTGAGATGACTTCAGCCTTGTAAGAAGCCCAGAACCAGAGGATCCACCTATGCTGTTCCCACAGTCTTGACCCAAAGCGACTACGGGACAATAAATGTTTTAAGCCACTAAATTTTGGAGAAATTTGTGATATAGCAACAGATAACTGACACAGTGTCTCATTTGAAAGGTCAATTTCAACCTCAGCCTTACCCCATTTTCCTTTGGCCTCAGGGGAATGAACAAGTCACAAACATCACACAAACTTCAGAGAACTAAGACTATAACTTGTTCTTTTAAATCCTAGATCCAGGCCTGGTTATGTATCCTGTGATTTACATGCAGAACTCCAGTAGTTCCATCAAACCCTTGTTCAAGTATTCAAATGAATTCAAAACTACTGCTTGGGAAGATGACAACAACAACAACAAGAAGAACAGCAACAACACTTTCTCATTTTGCAGTGTACCGCCTGTATACGAGTCAGACAGCAACTTACCATTTTTAATTTCCTCAGTAAAATACTAGTGATGGTGTCTTCATTTAAGAACTTAAGCATCTCCTTGCAATCAGCAGCACAGGGCACTTGCATGGAAGGACTCCAGTCTGAATTTGACTGTTATACATCGTTCATTAAAAGTCCTGCTGAGAAAATTGGTATGTCAGTATCAGAGAAGTTGAACCCTTTATTTTTATCAGATTTTTAAGGCTTTATCATGACATTGAAGCACACCATGAGCTAGCCACATACTGGAATTTATTACTCTGATTCTCTATATAAGTGCCTTGAGAAAACTGCAATTTAAATTTACTCCTTAAACTTTGAAATAAAGAATGCCCATAAATAGAGCTATAGTGATAAGCTTTTGTAAAATCATTTTCAAAGACACCATCAGTTTGTTGTTCACTATACGTATATTATGATAAATTTTTTTTTCAGTTCAACACTATGAAATAGGTGTATTTCTCTGGTAAACCGGTACATGTTCTTTTACTGAACAATAAGAATGATGTAACATACTAACTTTCTCATTTTGCTTTGGCTGCCGGGAAATATGTTTATTTTCTGAGCAGTTATAGTAGCTACTCTCAGCCTAAGTTTGTTACTATATCTCTTTTTGGCTCCATATTTTAGTAGTTGTTTAATTAATTTTCTTTTTATTTATTTGGCTTTTATATTGTTTTGGTGCCTTTATAGTTCAAACTATCACATTTTAGGGAGTTAGGTGGTGAAATGCTGCCCCTTTAACATTTGAAAAAAGGTCTCACTAAGTTAAACAAGAAATCTTTCTTCTTTTTTTTTTTTTTTTTTACTTTAATAGTAAAACCCTTTTCACAGAGGATTGAAAACATTTCTTTTAGAATTTTATAAATTAATCGGTAGATACATCTTATTTTTAAAATCCACATTATTAAGTAAAATCTCACAGTGGAAGGCATGAGATCCTGGTTTTGCCAAGCAAAACTGAACCTGGAAGTAAGCCAAGTGAGGCTGCAGCAGGAGGGGGTCAGTCAACCTTCTGCACAGAGCAGCGGTGGGAGTGGCCATCTTTGGAGGAAAACATGATGGAGCCTGCTGTGTCCAGTTCTGATTCTGTGGTCAGTATTGTTCTTGCTTGGGTAACTCCTTAGTTTGTACCTCTGGCCCTCTCAGTGATTCTATGAGCCACCTAGTATCCTATAACAAAAGCTTTTTATCTGCTTGGATTTTATTGTATGCAACTAAGAAACCTGAGAAACACAGGTTTACAAACACATGTACCTTCAGGGGCTAGTCAAATAACAAAAAAGATTGATGTGGGTCAGTATAAGAGCCAGGGAACAGTCAGAGGGGAGGAGGGATGTATATGCCCCTCTAATGGTATTCAAATTCAACTTTTCTAAAACATTCTTTTCATCACAACTAACTTGGTAACATCTGCGCTCTAAATTTAGCTTATGGGGCTCCCAGTTTGTGACATTTGACACTGATATTTATTTAATAGAGTTTTTTTTTTTTAATTTGAATTTAGGGAATTTCTTGCTTGCCTTTTTTAAAAATGAAGTTGGCATTTTCCACCTAAATATTTTGCCATTTTAGCAACATGGTTGTGACTCTGTGGATGCCCTGGGGTTCCTAAGAAATTCTCTTGTACTGATTTACCTTATGGTGAGGGCAATCATGATCCCAAGTAAAGAGAAAGAAATAATCCTGGATTATGGATGCTGGATGCTGCTGGCTGATAGCAGCAACACTCTTTTTCAGCAAATCCTCATTCCTTTATCACGGAGAATAGACTCCCAGGAAAACCAAGCAGCCACAAAACTGGAAGCCCAGCTAACATTTTTCAGTCCTGGGATATAGTAGAAATGAAAGTTCTGTGGCAAGTGATGTGTCTGAAAATTGCATTGGAAGAGTGATCATTAGGAGGACTGTTGGCCCATTTCCAGAGTGGCAGGTATCTGGGATAATGTTCAGGGGAAACTCACCTATTTCATCCTTCCCCTCAAGAGCTGGTTAGCTTTAGTCCTTGAAGCAGTGAGATTCAGCACCTAATTCTCTATGTTTCATGCAGAGAGATGCAGTGCTTTAAGCCAACATTTCATTTGTGGTTTTAAAACTGTATTTGGATTGCATTCTGTTTTGTGATTCATGTATATGTTGCCTCATTCCTTTTCATTGGAACACCACATCTACGGGCCTCATTATCTCTAATAGACCTTTTAGCTCTCTCAGGGTTATGTGGTTTCAAAGTATTACAAACTCATTCATGTCATTCTAATTTAAACACGATGTTGTTATTCCTGTATCTATTTTATGAACTACCCTTCTGCTTCCTTTTCTACTTACTGGGTGTTACGGGAAGTGGAAGATAGCATTCCAATCAACTGTGGAGCTAAAACGTCTGGGTAATTGCATTTGACAAATGTTGAAACCCTATCCCCCAAATACTTGCAACACTTTCCTTCCTGACACCAGCAATAATGAAAATGTCATGGTGCTAATGAAGGATTTCTACTGCGGTCCCTTGAACATGGCCCAAATAATCATTGTCAGGCATACACCATTCAGATTTCTTGGTATAGTCTTACCCATCAACTGAGGTTAGGCCTCCATTTATTTCAGGATGACAAAGATATATTTTTTTCTAGACACTTATCCTGGAAGCTTTGAGAAAAGGCAAAAAAAAAAAAAAAAAAAAAAGGTTGACTGTGAAAATAAAATGATAATGGTTGTGTGTATAAGAAAGTCACCTTAATCTTACGTGTTTGCTTCTTAAAGCTCCCATAAACACAAGAAGAGAGTGACCATTTAGGTTATTGTTTTTCAACAGAGAAAGTGTTGCACCAGAATTGTAGATTAGCAGAGTTGGGAGAAAGGTTTAGAAACGATCTTGTCCCATGCCCTTTATTTGCAGGCAAGGCAATGTGGTTTAGAAAGTGGTAGTGAGTTGCCTCAGTAGGATATGAGGGTGAGTAAAGAGGAAGTTGATGGACAAGCAGATTCTCCATTAGACTATAGCTTCTATCTTTCTGGAAGGGAGTGACAAACAGGTGAGATTAAGTGACCTTAGTGGAAAATATGAATCCCAGTGGCAGAATATTGTTTGAAATACATCTTGATTTATTTTCCTTCCTCCTTTCTTCTCTTCCTACCTCTTTTCCTTCTTTCCTTACCTTCTTTTGTTACTCTTGTATTTACCCCTTGAGCTCTTCTTCTATTGATTCTACCTTGTAATTTTAAACCGGAAGTAATTTTTGTCCTGCAGGGCACATTTAGTGATATCTGGAGACATTTTCAGTTGTATCTAGTGGATAGAGACCAGGGATGCTGCCAAATATACTACAAGCATAGGATATCCCTGCCTATGCCCACAACAAAGGATTTTCTGGTCCAAAATGTCAATAGTGCTAAGTGTGAAAAATCCTGTCTGGGCTGATTCTTTCCAGCAAAGAGAAAGAGAGAAGGGACCAGAGAATATTTGGAAGAGAAAAGAAGATATGATAAGTTACCTCTCAATTATAGAGAAGGACAATGGGAAACTACTTTAGTACTGAGAGGAGAAATCTGGGGAAAGATTCTGAGAAGGGTGAGAGGTGAGAGTTGACATTACCCTGTGAGACTTCTACCTCCATTGGGCCATACCTTGGAAGGAACAGGAATGCAACAGATAGCAAACTACCCACATCAGTTTGGAGTTTGGTAAAATCCTAGAGCCGGATCTGCATGTTTTGACCTCTTGGCCTTTGGCCTAGTTTAGAAGACTTCATGCTCCTCAGAGAGAATCCAAATTCAGCTGGTGTCTTAGGTACTATGGACCCAAACCCAAGTCGTTAGTAGAAGTGGTGGAGGAAGATGCTCAGGCCAGGAAGACTGAGATAGTGCCCTTGGCTCTCCAGAGTCCACACTAGCATGGAGGAGGCCAGGAGATTACTGTGTGCCACAGAGGGCTGCTGTAGGTACTGGTTGAAGAGTTCCTCAGGGGTGTCTCTGAGTCAAGGAGTGAAAAGACTCTGAAGTGGAGAGCTGCAGGGCAGACCACCCTTGCTGAGTGCTCAGATCCAGACACCAGCCATCCCTGTAGGCAGACCAATGGACCTTGACTACATAGGAGTGACACCAGCTCACACATTCTGCAGCAACTGTTATGAGCCCTGAAGCCCATTACAAGAAGTAGAGCACCACAACCACCTACACCATCTCACCCCACCCCATGACATAACACAAGCATCACCTTCTATCCAATGTCTGGAGAAGAGAAAGAGAACCGAAAGAGAAAGGAATCCAGAAAGGCCAATTACCTGAAAGAGATTATGTATTAAACTAGAAGAGACCAGAAGCTTGTAATTGGCAAGTACATTTTACTGTCAGCAGTAATGAATGCTGAAGGGAAAATGAGAAATACAGTTAACTTCCTCCCATTTACATTTAACCTCACTACATTCTTATTCTGTGTCCATACGACCCCAGTATCTAGTACTAGTTTCTTTTTCGACACCCTTGTCCACATTCATCATTTCTTCAGCCACATTCTCTCTATGATGGAGCATCTCACCTTTGAACAAACACCAGTTGCCACGTTGGCTGCTTACCTGCCTTTGCTCTGTTTTTTCTTCTTCCATGTCTGTGGATATCCTCAGTGACAAAGGAGCTGTCTGTGTATTAAGATCACCTTGTCTTAATGGAGAAATTTATCAGTGTCTTGTACGTCCATGAGACCCAGGTCCTCTCTAACAAAGTATATGTCACTGCATAGTAGATCCAGCTACATTCCTGAATACACCAGGGCCCCAGAAGGAAACATATGACACTCTTAAATGGGGAATTTGAGGCATGCTTAATAAAGGGCCTATTTGAAAAACTGTGGACAGGGTTAAGGGACATGAACAATAGATGAAGAAGTGTCTCCAAACCAGTAATGGTAGTCTGAAGGGGAAAGAGGAAGTGGTGTTATTGGAACCCAGAGACATCTCTAGCTATAGAAATAACCTTGGTAGAGGAAAAGAGTCACTGCCAATCTGTGGCCCAGCAGGGAAAAATAATCAGTCAGGAAATATCTCGATCTCAGTCTCTTTATACCCTTTGATCTCTGGCTGGTAACTCTTTTTGGTCAACTGAACTGGAAACTAGGAGACAAGCGAGCTCTGTGGATGGAATTCATAGAAATCAGCATCTGGGATGCAGGAGAAGGCTGCAGAGGGTGTCTTTAGGGATGAAATGAGAATATCCAAAACAACAATGTTTTTAGATGTTCTTTGGGTCTGCTAACTTAGAGTTTGGGCTCTGCCATGCACTCGAGCTTGAACAGCTTTTAATTTTTCTGTAAATTAGTTTCCTCTTCTGAATTATGGCAATATAAAAAACAGTA